CTGTTTGATTTCCTTAAATTCCGCTTGGTTTTCAGCGCTGCAACCAAGGCTAAACCTCCATATCTCAGTATCAACGTAAATAAACTTGCCAGGAGCCGTCTCTAGCTGCTGCTTGGTCCCGAGATGCTCGGTATGATTCTGGCTACCACGTTGATGGCCTTCGCTGCCTTCTCGTAGGCGTATTCTACGTGGCTATTGAAGCCAAACGGTCGTCGACCATCACTCCCAGGCATTTCAACACGCACTTCTAGTTTATTGCATGCTCCTCAAGGGTAATTTCTGACCGCTGCAGCGCTTTAAAGTTACTGATCAATACCACCTCGCTTTTGCTGTGGGCTATCTGCAGCTTCGCTCAATGCATTAGGTTTCCAATCATGTCGACCGCCTCGGTCGCCAACATTTCCATCTATCCCAGTGTCTTGCATGTTACCGCAAAGCCAACGATCTCAACTCCTTTCGGTAGCTTCAGCTTTAGACCGCCGTTTTAAATCACGTTCCAGAGCGTTGGACCAAGGATGGAGCCTTGTGGAATTCCTACCGTGATCCTAATCGATCACTATCCTATATTTGGCTCGTAGTTCAGAGCTCGGTTGTGTAAGTAGCGTCGACCTCCCAGCCATTGCTGTTGAACGCAATTCTTGATATCGATCTCCTCTCCACTTCTGTTTCTACGACTTCTCGGCTCTCTCGACAACTGTCCGAATTGCATCCACTTTTGCTCCTCCTTTTCCAAAACCGAACTGCCTCTCCGACAGTCCTTGCTCACTTTCCGTGCATTTCGTCAGCCTGTTTAGGATGATCCTCTCCAAGAGCTTTCCGAGTGCACTGCTACGAGTTGCTCGTTGGTGACTTCGTCGTTATCTCCCTCTCCGTCTCCGTACGATGTAGATGGCCAGGTCGTTGGATCGTGCTTCGAGAAAAGTCCTTCCACGATGACTTCCAGGTTCTCTAAGCACATTTCAGCGGGCATAACTTGACATCTGATCTTCATCACCACGACACGGTGTGCGTCGTTGGCAGCAGCGTCTCGACCCAGCTCCAGTTGACAGTATGACTTGCTCTGCGTTCCTCTACGTTCCTCTCTGTCTGCTTCTGTTCTTGCTCTCTGAACACGTCTTCTGGCTCTGAGACAACTAGCGCGGAGGGTGCTAATTGCATCGTTGCAGCAGTAAGCTGGAAGCCGTCTGTTATTTAGTTCCAGTTTTCTCGGCATGGTCGAGTCACATGCTCTCCCTAACGATTCTGTCAACTCGTCTTCCACTTCAGGTCGCAAGTTCTCGTCCTCTGTACTGCCACAGGATTCCGTTGGCAGATGCCATATCGGATTGCCTGTATATCCTTCTAACACTCTTCAATTCATGTTTTCCACCAGCGACGGACTGCTGTCCGCATAAAGTGACGTCGATAATGAATTCCCGGCCAATTCTGCGAAAAGTGCTGGTGGTGCCTAATTTCCAGCTTCGCCTGAGCTTCCAGTAGAATGTGCCCTCTTGCGTTGGTACATCTGTTTCCCCACTCCACTGCCTAAGCATTGAAGTCTCCTCCGATGTCTACCGGTCTTCGTCCGATCAGCTCTTCGGTAAGTTCAACCAGCGTCTCGTGGAACTGCTCCATCGTCCATCGGGTACGTAGCAACTGCATATTAATATTCCGTTAATTTTAGCGATCACGAAACCTACTTCTTGAATGGGGTATCTACCCAAAGCTTGTATTGCAGCCATCCCAGCTCTATCCACCACCTAGTTACCTTTATTGGGAGAGACTCGATACAGCTCTGCAGTGTCGCAATAATTGAGGTTTATTTAAGTTACCTCTGTTAATGTTGCGACAAAACAATTAAGTGTCATTTGGAGCGAAATGCTTACAATTGATGCTTAAAAACCAAAAAGTTCAGCAAAATATTCAGGCTGACAAATCGGGAAAAAAAAGCTGACAAAATCGGGGGTGGACCAAATTGGGAAAGCACTGTATTGCATGACATGTCTCATAAATTTAAACGATCTATTTTGTAAACTTGTATGATATACGACGCTCCATTTATGTGCATCATAGTAACGGAATTTTACACTACTTTGTTTAGCTGTGTTGTGTATAAACAATCTTCCACAAAAAGTTCCAGTAAGAACTATGTAACCCTGACGCGAACATAAGAACACAGAAAATCTGATGTACCATTTGAACATAAAACAACCAAAAAGGTAATTTTCGGTCTCCTTGCGACAGTTTCTTACAACGAATTCTGCTACCAATCCAGTTTTCCAAACAAACCGCCCGGCTTCTCTTATGGTAAACTATTCGAAAAATGTCTCATTCTTAATTCACGTTCTCGGCAACATCCGCTATTTTTCGTTCGTCCCCTGCACCAGCAGTGCTTCTGGGATCGTCCTCCAACCCCAACCCAAATCAAATATTGCGCCGCCATCCCCTGCCTCCGTCGAAACTAACATATGACTGCATCCCAAAAAAAAGTAAACACAAAAATCTCGTCTCGATCAACATTTGCAGCAGCAGCCCGAAACTGTTGCCGTCATAGCCGCTTTTGCTGAGGCAGCTCTAAAACGAAAACAAAAAAAAAACTTGTCTTGGTCAGCCAGCTTCCACTTTTGTACACATAAATAATTTCATCATTGAGTTTACATGAACACATCGTCCCCACCGAACTCGCCGTGTCTCCCCTTTATCGAGACTGCCATGCCATGTGCCGTGGCCATCGATGAGCTCTAAAGCTGTTGTGCATCGCGGAAGAGTGCACACATGGGAATAAAATGCAACCGGAGGAAATCTTCAACCATCTCGAATAGAGCTGAGATACGACTTCCTATGCTCTCTCTCTTTCTCTACGAGACGCTCTCTTCGAGTTGATGGATGCTGCGACTGATGATGCCACCACTACCATCGCCATGTGAGCTGGGGAGACCACCGCCTCTTTTCGTGTAGCATAGCAAAATGCCAATGTATTGGAATAGGGGCGTGTAAAACAGTATCAGACCCGGAGTAATTGTATTAAATCAGCATATTTATTCGATCCCATGCTGGGTTTCAGTGTTTGTGTAATGTTATAAATCATGGAAGAGAGAGAGAGAGACTTGGAATTACACATGCTAACACGTAGTTGTGCGCGTGCTTCGCAAAACTGTTCGATTCGAGCAGAAGATGAATGGGAAAACAGAACGAATAAATACTTAAATGTTTAAATGAACAACTAAGGGGAAAATATTGAGCACTACTGGGTCGGAAGGTATGCTGCATTTCAACGAGTTGTGCTAGGTGATAAAACTGAAAAGTCCTACGTTCAACTGACAACGGCAATGGCATGGTAGAAGCACATATTGCGGCTTATGTTTACGAGCGGATGCGTCTCTTCCTTCTTCTCACGTGTTTGTGATATTTATGGCTGATACGCGTTGTGTAGAAGTTACAATGTATGGTCTGACGGGGATTTCCACCCGCTACTCTAATCACGTAGATACGCAAATGGTGATGCTTCTTTTTACACCAATCGCCCAAACCTGACGTTTTACAGTCAAGAAAGTCAAAATTAATTTCGTCAGTATTCTACGCATTTTATGCAACAACTAATTCTCAGTAATTGATTCTAGTTTTATATGAGTTAAGGTTGAGTACAATTGTAGTTTTAGTATTAAACTAATTAAATAATGGAGTAGGGTCAGTCCCAAAAATGGACCTGTTGAGAAATTTCCATCCCAAAATATTAATGTTCCTGCTGTTGGCAGCCCTTTTCTCGAGACCACATTTTTTTACCTTGTGAGATAGGGATCTCGAAGACTATTCAATCAAGTATTCTTCTGTCCGCAATGTAAAAATGAATTAAAGGGTGTTACAATCAAAATTTGATCAAACAAACAAATTATTTTTCTTTTTTAAGTTCAATTAGTATATTGTCTGTTGCAGTGGTGACTGTATTTTTAAGAATATTTTGAGTCGCACTTTGATGGTGCGCTGACGAAAAACAACGAACTTTTTGGTTATTTCATTTGATTCCGAACAAAAATCAGTCACTTTGACAACTCTATCTGTCATACGCATGGCCCGCACTTATTTCATCCCCGCACTTTCAAAGTGCGGAGTCCAGTAAGGTGCAAAATGCGCAATAAAATACAGACAAAATATTCAGCTAAGCTTCCGGTTGACCGAATCCGAATTCCCGGGCCCTTCGTTTCGTTCGCAATTTGGAGTCAGTGCATTCTTGTAAGTCGACAGTCCGGCTCGTTTTTTAGCTCGATGCACGGTTGTAGACGAGTCGACAATACCAGCTTGTTTGAGACAACTCGGACGGCGAGGTTGGGACTTCCTGGCTGTCGAGAAACGTTCCCCGAACACATTTATTACGTTGATGAAAGTTGATTTGCCCGCTTTTAACGATTTCACTTAATTAATTTTGGTATCCATGACAGATACGTATTTCGACTACAATGTGCAGTCTTCATCAGTGTCATTCCCACTAAAGAACTTTTCAAAATCTAACCCCCTTACGTACTCATCCCTTAGGTACAAAAGTCAAGATCACAGGTATAAAAATGAAACTACAATGTGTTGAATCGGAACCATGGACGGACCTCCGAAACGTACCGGATCAGAGAGTGCTGAGGACTGGACACTGCCGGTTGTACTACAACCTTGGCGGAGGACCCTTCCGTAGGAGCTGCGTAATCTGCCACGTTCCGGCGACCGTCGAACACGTCCTCTGTGTTTGCCCCGAATTCCAGGATCTCCGGGAGACTTACGGAATCACCTCCAGCATCCGGAACCTGCTCGGAGAAGACTCGCCTGCTGCCGACGCCCTCCTAGTCTTTCATAGGGAGGCTAACTTGTATCACGATATCTAGTCAGATTATGTTTTTTAGCTTCGTTTGAATGTAATTTTTTTCTTTCGGCTGTCGGGATGGCACCGCACGGGATGAGCCTTTGGACCTCGTCACGGTGTCGTCTCGTTCAGATTATTGTTGCTTGTTTTTAACTTGTTCTGTTTCAACGAAGAGCCAGGAAAGCTGCTACCCCACAGCTTTAGTAGCCGGAGGGGCACCACATGGGATGAGTCGTTCGGCCCTCATAATGGTGTCCATCCCAGGTATAGTCAGTAAGGAAACGTTGAAAGTGTTCTGTTAAGATCACTTTGTCAAACCACTATGTAGGAGGTTCTCCTTCTGAGGCCTAACCTTCTGACCAAAGAGATGAACTAGCCTAAGGCAAAAAATCTCTAAAATAAAGATATATATATAAAAAAATGTTGCATTTTGGATTTTGGATATTATTTAATTTTCTTCGATGTTTCAGTGCCGACAACGCTGCTTCTTAAACGACAAAAACTTCGCCTGCATCTGTCACATTTTTATTTTTACAAAAGTATTAAAAATCAAAAATCCAGAAAAATATGTTTTTTTTCTGAGATTCTTAAAAACTACAAGTGTTTAAACATTCTTTCTATTTAATTATTTTAAAAATTTGGTTGAAATCAAAATTGTAACGTCTGCTTTTATAGTATTTTATACCCAAATTTTTACAATCGTGAATTTTTTTAAGAATCTCAGGAAAAAACTGATTGCCTTGAATCCTGATGAATGTGGTCGTTTTGGTGGAATACTTGTATAAAGATAGAGAGAAGGATTAGTAATTTACATTTAAATAACTACCTTATTTGTGTATCCATGACAGATACACGTATTTCGTCTACAATGTGCAGACTTCTCCAGTGTCCTGTACTAAACTCGACTGAAGAAAACAACTTACCGAATATATATTAACCTAGGTACAACTTAGAAGCTAGGTAAACTTAAATCTAATGTCCTGTAGAAGCAGGTTCTCCACTGCTTACTCGTGATGTGTCCTAAGTAGTAGCTTGAAAATCCATGTGTGTCCATTTCCTTGATCCCTGTTGAGTAAAGTTAAGTTCCGTTGCATTTCGAAGATATAAAATTCACTCACGAGGCACGCATTTCTCGATCTTCTAGGCATCATCGTTAGGGAGTCGTCATCGTTTTTTTTCGCTTGAATAGGATTTTTGATCTAATTTCCGTCCTACTAAGCACAACCCGCGTTTTACCTCTCTTTTTTGAACGGGTTTGAATATTTCTGTCAAAGATGACTTCTAAATTTATTCACCTTTCCATACTGGATTTGATAAAGAGTCACAAATTGTTGAGATATTGTTTAAAATCTAATACTGCTTCTTGATTATAAAATTGTCCTACGAGTTTCAATTTTGTCCAAACGCATTGAAACGCCATGAGATTTGCTTAGTCCTACGGATAAACGTAGAAAAAGGGGATTCGCTAGTAGCGCTTCTTTTGTTTTGAGAACAATGAGCGTAAATATTCATACAATGCGCTCTAACAGGGTTTATGTTGTAGCTAATGAACTAACGCATCAAAACAAACCTATTATTGATTTGTGCACGGTGAAGTCATTGATATTATTGATCTTTTCTGATCAATAGAACAGAAATGGGTGATTACGGCGAAGTGGCGCCCTACCCTACACACTCAGCGACGATTTGCGTGTTCGGTAATTTTTATCCGGAAAAAACTATAAATGCAGAATATTATAGATTATTCGATAAAAAAAAAATAATTTTACCAATATTCGGTAAAGTTTAAACGAAGTTTCGGTAATCTGAATATTTAATTACCGAACACTGTAAAAAAATACAATACGATCTGTAAAATGTGGTAAACGCCGAATTCGGAAAAAAATTACCGAACACACTGTAAATGCCAAATCCGTTTACCGAACTTCGGTACATTCAGACTGTCAAATCGTGGGACGGCTTGTTTTACACATAACCGCAAGCTTAGAGAAGTGAGACCAGTGAAAGTTGTGTAATTTTTATCATGGAACAGGTATGGAAGCAAATTCAAGGCCAGGATGAACGCATCACTGAAATTTTTGGAAGACTCGAACGATTGCGCAATATGCTGGAAAAATCTGGCGATTCTAATTAGACATAGAATGAGGAAAGCGTTTGAAATGTTGATCCAATCGTTTTTCGTTTTTGATACTGTACGGGCACGGTCAGACAAACAAATCTTCCTATTTTTCGGAACAATGATTAGTGTTGAAACTTTGTCTACAACAGTAACAAAATTTATGCACGCGTTGCAGTAATCTTGCAGTCTTTTGTAGTTGAGTAAATTTCGTAAAGCGTATCCCAAAATCATTACAGGGCCATAATTTTAATGATCACTAAAAACATGAAATAGTAATGTAAAAAATCACTTTTAATATAAGCACTCCGGAAAAATTAGAAAAATAAAAAATAGAACATTTATATTTTTAGTTTTACGGCTCAATCCGGTAAAAAGCACCGAAACGTTCGTTAAAAAAATACTGAATCGTTCGGTAAGAATCACCGAACTGTTCGGTAAAAATTACCGAATCGTTCGGTCATTTTGACATTTCATAAAAAAAAGTGTTTACGGAACGTTCGGTAGTCATTTCGTTTACCGAACGGATTACCGAACGTTCAGCTGTTGAAAGTTCGGTAAAAAATTACCGAATACGGTAATAATTCCTAAGTGTGTACATAGTTTACAGGACACCAACAAGCACCAAAAGAGTTATCCTAGAGGCGGCAGAATAGACACTATTTTTGCCTCGGCGGCGGTGGCATGGCGGCGTGATGCCGTTGACTTTGATCGGTAGCGGCGTATCACTATGGTGGCTGTCAAAATGTCACATTTCAAAGTTGAATTTGAACCAAAATATTGTATTACTGTATATGTGACATGTTGCAGAAAACCCGTTTTGACTTTGTTACCGAAAACACCGTCAAAACATTTCGGAATAGTATCGGAACCAGGGTTGGGAAAAGTCATTTTCAACTAAAGATCTCAAGCGATATCATGACAGAACGTGACAGTGTTGTGATCATCGTAATTACTAGCGCATTTAATGCTATTAAAGTTACTTGTACCGAGGAAACCCTAATGCTGTATTCACTCTACCGATTACATACGGTTGTTTGCTTAAATTCATCTAAATCAGTTAAAAATGTTTATGTCAAAACCGCATAAGAATTATTCTCATGAGTGCTTGATCATTGAAAAATGACAAGAAAGCTAATGATAGGTAGTTTCGTCTCGTGAGAGTGAGACGACCTGTTTTCTCATCGTCACATGACGGCCGTGATATTTACCAGCTCTGATCGGAACTATTTCGTAAGGTGGGTTTTCCAGTATTTAAAATCATTCTGCATTAAATAGCCTATTCATAAGAGATGGTCAGGTACCCGAAATCCGACCCGTAACGGGTTCGGTTGGGTACGAGTATGCAAATAAATAAATTTTCGGATTCGGGTCGGATACGGTTTACCAACAAACGTGGAATAGTCGGGTACGGATATTTCCTGCATCTTATCCAATTGAGAAAGTACGAGATGAACTAGCCAATGAGCTGAAAATCTCGCTAATAAAGTTTTTTTGAAAAATTAAGTAGGTAATGATTTTGAACATCAAAACAAGCTTTTTAGCGCATTTCTTCAACAAATAACACATATCATGTGTATTGACAAAAACAGAAACCTTAAAAATAAGTATATGTGTCCATTGAACGGTAAATGATCAGGAACGGGGTTGTCTACCTAAAACTTTACCCATACCCGTACCTGATGAGTTCGAGACGGGTACGGGTATTAAAAAAACACACATTTTGGGTTCGGGTCGGTCACATACCCGTCCATCCCTATTATTCAGCTATGGCGGTTTCACCAAACCAATGACGGTGGTTTCATTTTCAATTTAAAGTTCTAGTAACCCTATGACCATCAGAAAAGACAGTGTCTGGTAGCCTAATTTGCATTTTTGTTTAGATTCAGCGTTCCGTTTCGCATCGTTCCATTTCGCTTTTCTCCATTCCATCTGCTAAATGTCGTTTGAGAAATAATTTACACGGCGCGTCAGTTTACCGGGAGTCCACGGTATTGTTTTTTGGAACTTTGACCTTGTCCATTCCATTTGTTGTGTCCGTTTCATTTGATCAAGATATCACTTGTAAGTAGTTAAAATCATTGTTAGGATCCACTAAAGATCCAGGTAATGTTTTAGGCCAAACAGGTGTATATAAAATAAGCTGTAATCATTGTAACAAAGTAGGGGAAATGGCTCTAATGTTGGCCTATGGATTTAAGATTGGGCCCATAGCTAGAAATCTGCTAGTTATCAATTTTATCTAGATGAACGCGTCATTTGACGGTACTTGTGGATATTTTTGGTCGCTATTGAAAATTTAGCCGGTTACTGAATTTATGTATGGGCCCAAATTAGGGACATATAGGCTGACATTACGGCGCTTATTACAGATGTCACTTCACCGTGAAAACTTGTCACCTGTCATCACGGTGAAGTGATTCCCATTTGATTTGTACGGCAATCACGGCTCTTATTCTGAGTATCACTTCCTTATCACCGTGTAGTGACGCCCGTAATAAGGCTCTACATCTATTTCGCCTAGTTATTCATTTTTATATTCCATGTGTGTGACCTTTCAAAAGCCATATAAAAGCTGACTATAAGTAAATTGGTACGCCCCTCACGCACCGCTAGCACGCCTCTAGTGTTGGGAATCGAAAATATTTGAGTAGTGGTTTGTTTAAACTTTTATAGAGAACAACTGGTGATCAAAGTAGTCGATCGCGTTCAGAAATAACGTCAAATGGAACTCGAAAGAAGAAAAAATATTGTGCACAAACACCTGGAAAATCCGTAGATGTCCGGTTCCAAGCTGGCTAAAGTGCTGAAAATGCCGAAAACAACAGTATGTCGAGTACTCAAAACCTTCAAGGAAACCCTGAGTGTGGAAAGAAATCAGCGGACTTACGAAAAAACTGGAAACAGGGATCGTGAGCTGCGCAGCAAGGTGTTGAGGTGTGATAAAGCCAACTCCGGTCTTTCAATCCGAGATTTGGCCAGAAGGTACTACCATAGAGGTAACTCTAAGACCAGAAGGTCCCGAAGAAACGAGCTCAATTTTTTGGCTCAGCTCTGGTACTCTCTTCTGTCCCAAGCTAATTGATTCACCCCTCGAAACATAGGAAAATCCACTAACCCCTCATTGTATCTGTGAA